TACAGGCATCTTTCGTTTGGGTATGCACCGGTTCGGCCTCTTTCTCTAGCACACGTCTTGGAATCGAGCAGCAAGAGGCTGCATTTTACATAAGATGTTGACATATGAACAAGATAATGCTTCGTTTTGGGTGAATGGGCATCCTCATTGAGGAAGGTCAACGCCGATTATGCAGCTATTTCTTGAACTGTCGGCAGTGGGTTCAGTTAGGTCATGAAACAGTTAACTACCGTGCAGGATTATTCTTAGTTGTGTATCCTCTATATGTGCAGTCAATTTCAACGGTTTACATTAAAACTCTAGTTCCTATTCCTGACCGAACGCTCTTCCTCATAATGATTAGCAAATGTACTCTGGTTGTATTCCAACGCTTGATCGTGACAATTCAATCCTACTACTCGGTACGTGACATTCGTAGCTCACATTCAGATGGTCTGATGCTCTTGTGAATACCACTGTCTTTTTGTGCATAAGCGAAAGGAGGAATACAAACAGAAATCTCTTGTTCAAATATTCCAATGGTTTTAAACAAGAACACAGTGACGAACATTAGAGGTTTTGGGATCTCATCATCCGGTCAGTAGATATCTAATGGTCACTTGTCCCGAAGTCACTTTTCTGTCTCAAGTTGTGCTGCTGCTCGGTTGATTTTCTTTGTACACTATGTTCTTACTATACTAAACAATGCTGACACGAGTTGAAGGCAATACCTCTCATCCAATTTATTTTGTTGATCATCCATTGACTAACATACGTGAACTGTGGGCTGATATCCAGCGCCGACAAAGTCTATTTGGAACTGATAATGTCAGCTAATCGTTGAAATACGTTGGAGAGAAAGGGGACAGCTTACTGCAACCAGCCATTGTAGCACAACCTGCTTGTTCATGTCGAACGATAGTTAGCGTTATCTTGATTGCGTAGTCGATGCCTTCGGGCTTGTGGATCTTGAAGGAAGTCCGGCAGTTTCGCCCAATGTGTTGGTTACATAGATGGGAAAGCACACATAACGGGGTCGATGGGCAAATTTGATGCAACCATGCATTTGAAACTGATGAGAATGGGAAGCGAAGAATGTTTTTCGACGGCCTCCCGCTTTCATCTAACACATTGTGATACAGCGTAGGTTGCGCGGTTACTTTAGTATTGAGGCTGCTTTATACCTAAATAAGTTTGCCGATGAGGTACAGCTGATAATATAAAGGCACGTTCAAGAAGCTGTGTGGAAGCATCAATTCTCCAGTGGTACGGGCAAAACAGACAGTGCATTCTCTCCTTACGGAGTTCTGACAGAAGCAGGTTGAAAATTGGATAGCATACAGGGAGAACTGCCTTGGTGTGCAACACTCAACAGTATGCACTGCAGGATCATACAGGAACACTGAAGTCTATATCGACTGTCACGATTTTCGCGCGATGGTTCTCGGATCTAAGTGACGCACTCTCAGTCCCTTAACCCTCAAGCCAGTGTGCGTCTGAACAACAAGCTTTGTACAACTGGCTATCGGGCCAGTTTGTCATATGTCCTCTGGCTTTAAAAATGGAGCTAAGGTAAAGCTTTTGGTTGAAAAAAACTGTCCTTAATCAATTCTAAAGATTATTTTTAAACTTCTCTCGAACGAGGGCTAATTAGACTGTTTCAGCAGGCATTATGGTCCCAATACCAAGGGGCTGCTTTCATTCTTTCCGGATTAAATGACCCATAGCTATCGCTTTTGGTGTCTGAGTGCGACTCCTACCAACCTTATCCTACAAACTGTGCTGTAGCACCAAATAATTCCACAGCTCGTAGAGGTGAGTTCAGTTAGTAGTGTTCGGTTTCAAGCTGGTCCTCTACCACCCTCGTGATGTGAACATATCGGAACCATACATAAGAAAATATATACATCGATGGATCCCACTCTGTCTCGCTGAAATAAAGTTCCAGAGGATAGATCTTTAAGATAATTGAAATGGTTTACCTACAAGATTAGATTGAGGAAACTTCAAGAGCTGTGACTGTACACGTCGTCAGTGTCAGCGTCAGGTCACCCGGATGAACCTAGATAAATCGACTGCTAGTTGGCCTAGGCATTGCATCCACGCTGGCAGACTATCAGAGGCCATTCAGAATTTTTTCATCACCAACATCATGTATCGTACTGAGTCTGAAGTTCGTCTTTGCTGAACCATGGGTATCTAACGACCTACCCCCTCCTTTGGTATTTCTAATTGTATGAAACATTATAAGTCATTTTCTCCGTTTTGTTAATTCAGCACAAACTCCGATTCTACTTCTTCAATCTTTTTAGTTTAACCCCAGTGTCTGCCATTGTCCGACAGTGTATAGGATAAACAGTACAAGGGTACATAATACAGTATTTTGGGATGGAGTGAGAGATATGGTTGAGGTACTAATACAACTTTCTCGTTTCTGCTTTGATCTGGAGTCAGGTCAGGTGAATTTGTAAGGCTTGTTAAATGTGACCATACATAATTGGGTATCACAGCATGGTGACAAGTGATTCTCCCGCAGTAAACGTGGGCAGATAATGTCGTCTCTGAACTCACCCCAACTTTCTACTTAGTCAGCATGAAACACGTCTGATAGCCGACATCAATGACCAGAGTATTAATCCATACCAGCTTATGTAACCCGACTCTTTGCATGTGACTTCAGAAGCGTTCAACTGATTCACTGGGTCTAATCCCTGATTGATCGGAAAGAAAATTCGGCTTGAGAACCACGTCTAAACCGCGCACACTTAAGGCCAAACAAATCAACATTACATGTGAATTTGACTTAAGGCCAAACAAATCAACATTACATATGTGAATTTGGACACGTGACAAAAACAAAATCAGAGACTTCAATTTCGCAGGCGTGAATACACAATGTACACATAGTCTTGAAATACTAGCGCTCTGAACTTAATCTATTCGTTCACAAACTTCTAATTGACCTAATTTGTAGTGTGGATGAATCAGTCTATGGATATTATTCGGTTAACGTGAGATTGCAAGGCCAACCGTAAGGTGTCTGGTAAAAGCACCTGTGACGATTCCCATGTAACAACGGGCGACCTTTTATGCAGTCACCCTTTGTTCAAATCCTTTTGTTTTACACTTAGGCTTGAGTTGTTTTCAATTACCTTATCCAATACTCACCTGAATAGAATTTGTCGAAAATTCAAGGCAAGAATACTTCGGACAGAAGAGGACGTCGTTTTGTCTATATCGGACTGTCTAGATGAAAGAATTGAGTGTAGGCTAGACGGAATGCGGCGGTGTCTGCCCTCGACGAATAGTCTAGTTTGATTGTGATGTCAGACGATTGGATAGCCAGATTCAAGGATTCTCTGGAGATTCAGACAATTTTTCTGCCAAATACTCAGGTTGTCTGTCAAAATATCGGTCACGTGTTACACTACCCGCAATTCACCTAAGAAATGACCAGCAGGAACGAAGAACCTGTCCACCTACCCCGAGGAGGAAACACCCAAGTTTGGGAGACAACATATTGTGCAGTCCATCTGAGGAAAACTAAGCACTGTTTGATGCCGGAAATTCTTTATTGTTTTTCCAAAGCAAAGCGCCATTGTCAAGGTGCCAGATGCCGTTGGCCCACATTTGCTTCAATGATTCCACTTTGAAAACTTGTTCTCATCTTGCGCACATCCACAAGATCCTAATAAGGCTTAACTTGGTTTGGTAGATCATTAAACCCAGCACACGCACTGCGCAGGATTTGTTGACCGTGCCAGAGTTGCCATTGAGAAGAGTGATTATGAAGCTGCAGCGTAAAAATACAAAAATGCATCAAAACGATATAGTTATCCAGTCCACAGAAATTGGCACTTTTGTTTGTTAAGTTGAGATCAGGTTTCGTGAATATCCGTCCAATCTTTGCAGTTTTGCCTTCCGTCTAGTTGAAGGAAAGACGTGGGGACCTGTTCGTGAGGACCTGAGAGACTGCGTCCATCGTGTTAGACGGAAGTTCACGCGCGTTGAGAGCGTGTGCAGAAGACGCAACTCACTCAATGATACGCTATCGAAAAGGTTTCGTGAATATCCGTCCAATCTTTGCAGTTTTGCCTTCCGTCTAGTTGAAGGAAAGACGTGGGGACCTGTTCGTGAGGACCTGAGAGACTGAGTCCATCGTGTTAGACGGAAGTTCACGCGCGCTGAAATCGTGTGCAGAAGACGCAGCTCACTCAATGATACCGCTATCTAAAATGCCCCTTGAACAAGGAAACATGTGACGCACCTTCCATTATCCACCCATTCACTAGCAAACAGTCCAATTCGAGAAAGCATCTCGGTATCCCATGAAAGTGCTTCCTCGATGACGAGGGTTCCTCCATTAGTTCTACTGATTTTGGGTGCAACTGACAGATGAAATAAATCACGCCTCCTCAAACGAATGACGCTCAATCTTTTCGTGTCCACAGTGACTCACGTGTACATGCATCTTGCTTCAGAGCTGTGCAAAAGTCCTTGGTTGATACATTCCTATTTACCTTAATATGAAGTCGTACATTTCAAAGACGAAGCTGAAACCGCATATGGCCATGCAAACGATTTGTGTGCCATAAAAACTAAAAGAGTCCTAAGAAGTCATTCCACGGTATTTCCTGAAAGACTGCGATTCGGGATAATGTTGTAGACTCGGTGAATGATTGACCACAAAATTGCAACATCTTCACTGTGAATAAAATTTCCCGAGCGAATAACAGTTGATAAGAAACGGGTTTCGATAAGTTATAAATTTGAATCAATGAAGCGACCGAATATATCAAAACGAGCTACTAAACCAATATACTACTCACGGGTTACGATATTCCATATTGTCGTGAGTTTTTGGGATTCAAAGTGGTCGTTAGTTCAAGTATGGTAATCCGCTCTTCACCAAATACATGACTGTTCAGTGTCATTAAAAAACCATGGATACTAACAAAGAAAGTGTGAGACTGCATAAAAATGCTGCATGTTTGTTTGTGGGGAAATATAATCAAGAGAAGTTACTTCAGAAGCGAATCAGCCTCCTTCAATAATACGTCGGCCTTAAACATTAAGGATCGACTCATTTCCAACCTCTTTCCGTCGTCTGATTGGTCACCAGCTTTACAGCATCCGTTTTCTTTGATTGAACATGAGGGTATCATGTAGGCACAAGTGTTGCTGTCAACTTCCACGTCCTCCGTTACAAAATCACCTCTATTACGAGCGGTAGAAACAGGAAGTTTGATGAGAAATTCTTCGGGGATATGCGGTTTTACTCTCACACGCTCTTGGGTAGGTGGATCTACACCAGTGACAGTGCCCCCTCCACTAGCTCTTTGTGGTTTGCGATACACCGTTGGAAGTACTTGAAGTCCTTTACACAAATGGTCATTTTTATAATTCATGAGTAACTGAGTGGTTGATGTTCCGTTAGTTATTGATGAAGTACGGTCCGGTGAACCAGCAGCAAGGTTTGACCAAGTGGCGTTTGGTAAAAACCCTTCGTATGGTATCGTGGAAACAGGTAGTGTAATGGAACGATGCATAATGTTCGAGCTGTCGTTCTGCTCGTCTGCACAAAAGACTTTACTCCGTGTTGCTGGCGTAGAACAATTACCTGCGTAGACTGGAATCATCATACCGCACCCAAGCGTCATTGATGCTCGCTGTGTGCAAGGAGAACAAGGATGTTGCCAAGGCAGAGCTGTAGTTATTGACGTGAAATCTATTCAGAGTTAATTAACCGGACAGAAATTAGTGCAGGAAGTCAAGGATAATGTAATGAAGTTTCACTGAACCAGAAACTATATGACAAAGTAACAGAGCGGTAAAACAGAATCCTACCAAACAATTCAATCTGTTTAGACTGTCTGATGGTTAAATTAGAGTATCATCAGGACATTCACGACCCCTTTTATTTGATCATGTACACTAGTCATAGATAGGCTTTGAAGCATTTTGGACGGTTTATTATGCAAGTGTTTCGTTCTAGCTCCTACCAAACGGCGGTGCACACCTCTCGGATAACGGTAAACAAATGGAAGCATCCTACGAGTCGCAATACCCTGAAGGACCACTTGAAGAGTCGATCGAGGCCAAAGCATCTGGTGTAAACTTCGTAAATAATGGATGTCACTTTATCGTGTGCATTTAAACCTATCGACTACCCGTAGCAAAGTGGCATTTTGCAAACGCTTTGCCGTATCTTTTTTGGGTCACGTCTTCCTAAAGATTCGTAAGTTGTACATTAGTGATACGCCCCCAGAAAAGAAAAACAGTTGAGCGGTGGATCGCTTAACTTCATTTCCAATACGAGATGGAGAACTGTAATGTGTATTCAACAACACTCATACATACTCTTGCCAACCGATGTCAGTGGCGTTTTTATTGTCAGTTACTATTCAGATTGTCTGAGTGAGCTTCTGGAGGCATAGGCACCTCGGAATGATTATGGTAAGCTAGCACGAAGTCTCTTCCCCGTCCACCTTTACTCTTTTCTTTACAATAAGGCTCTCAAATAAACCATTGCTGATGATTATTATGATGATGATGATGATGATGATGATGATGATGATGATGATGATGATGATGATGATGATGATGATGATCCAATCCAAACAGCAACCAGTTTAGGATGATAAAAAATCGACGCCTTCAGCGTGTACAACCTATAGAAAAATGTAAAACATTTCACGTAACCCACCTGCTGAGAAATCACCTCGGATTCCGTCGGAACCCCATGAACTCCGTACGAATTCCACGGTAGGTCCGGCTGTGCTCCAGGTAGTCGTGCTATTGATGGGCTACAATAAGACAGACGACTTGAATTTGCCCGAAGACTTCGGCCAAACTGACAAGAATGTGAATTTTTGATGGTACTGTCAGGTAGAGTAGAACAACTTGGAGGTCTTACATCGACGCCTGTTGAAGTCAGCCATGTTTGTTGTCGGTGAACTTTCTCCGCAATTACTTCTGGTGTCAAGTCGCACAAGATGCCAGCTGATAGAACTGAATTCATGCCCGCCGGTTTTGTTGATCGTTGAGGCAGGAAATATTTGTCTGTTATTGAAGGTAATGGGCAATAGAATTTTGGCTGGCTACGTAGATTCAAGAAGGATATCTAATTGACATGTATCTTCCCCGATTTTCGGATACCAGCAATCAGCAACCAAATTATAGGACCATTCATATTTTTCATGATTTTTTGTACACCCACTTCGAAAAATCATAAAAATTATCGGCATTAAAAACCGCGTATTTGTTGTACAGTGGTTATAATCTCCACAGTTTCGTTCACCGATGGTCTGAGGAGTTAGCGTTAATTAACTACGTATTGGAGGCGGTAGCCAGCGTCAGTACAGAGGTGTCAGTTGACTTTCCACTAGGGTGATCAGGAGGGGGCTACGCATTGAGGGTAACATCTTGGATGCATGCACGCCACTGGGTGTC